CATTTGGAATTCCAAAGCTCGAGTCAGCCAAGGATTTCAATAAAGTAAAATATCAGTAACCCACAGTTAACCAAGAGGCCTTTCATTAAGGAACGTTATCGTAAATTCTACGACAAAACCAACAACCGGCTTAATAAACAAAGGTACGTAAAGGAAGAGGCCTAGCCATTACTGGCGTACGTATTGTACGTACAATGACAGCGCCATCTACGGGACGTACGTACTTCGTTTAGTGAGACCACCGACGTAGTTGTGACGTAGCGTAGTGTGGTGAAGTAAGGTTTTACTTAGAGAGAAAAGTATGCGAATACGACAACTTAGGACCTTGACATTGCTTTCGATTAAAAGTGTTTTTAGTAATATTTTTTCCTGGTGATGCTTTCTTATTTATTATTAATCGGGTTTGTATCACTGTTGAGGGCGCATCAGATCTGCTCGTCAAAGCATAGGACTTCGGTACTGAAAGAAAGGGTTAAAATCCTGCAAATCACTTATGACTTTTAGGTTTTGAGCTCAACTTCGAAAAGGTATAGGTCCATCACGCGAGAATTTCTTGATCTATGTATAGGAACCTCCACTAAGGAAATACGGTAACAATTTTATGTCCTTATTGTCACGGTTCGATTTGTTAAAATCGAGTGTCTTCTGTGCCAGGATTTCGGGCTCAATTCTCTCCAATTATTAATGGCTATTAACTGACCCATTCAACCTAGGTCGTGGGGTCATCCATTTAAAAAGGATTGGCAGGTATTTTCAGACGAGGAGAAATTTCTTTGTATTGGTAAACTCCCTTCAATAAATCCTTGCGGGTTTTATGTGTTGTAGATAAGGGAAGTCTAGTGGTACAGGATGGGACGGAGGACTTCTTCAGATCCCACCACCAGTGGTAGTGCAAAAATTAATAACATCAAATTGGTAATGCCGGGACCTGGAAGCCTTTCGAAGCCTTCTTAAGCTGTAGGTTAACGTATAAGAAAATAGTATAGGTCTGCTAGGAAATCCTTCTCTCCTCTCTTTTACTTTGGAGAGTTTCTATACAAGCCAAACTTAATTTGGTCAGCGTCGTCAATTTAAAACGTAGCCATATTACACAGTGTAAACGTTCAATGGTACCAGTCAACAATTGCAAATCATCTGTTACTTATGACCAATGTCCGCTGAAAAACAACCGCTCTTCAAATTGTTTTGATCTCAAGTCACGCAAGCATGAATACAATGAGTGACATGTGTTATGAATACCACGTACACATGCAATCTTGAAAATCTCCCTCGTTATAAGTGTGAGTTGAACGGTCCTTGCTGAATTGACAATCCGCTCATCAACAACCAAATGCAAACCTTGTTTAAATAATCAACAGTTACAGTGTTGAACGGTGGTGTTTTATTGTTAGTGTAGATTGTAAGGCAGCCTTATTGTGCGTGTGCAATATTCAAATTTAACCAGCTGATTTGGAGACATACAATTTTCTCGAGGATAGGACTTGCATAGTAAAGATGCTTGCACCGTTAGTGCAGTATTAGGAAGAACAATTGAATACAAAGATTGACGTTGAGACTGGATTGGACATTAGAGCGATTAACAGTTTTACGAAGTTACGAAGATATTTTTGTGTGATTGTGTTGTGTCGGTCACTATTTGTAATATAGTAGGCCTACTTTAGATTATTTGAATTTATTTATATAAGTGAATAGTTTAATTTATGTTTTAGAGGTTAAGTGGTAGAGAGGACTTGCAAGTCCTAACTTCGCCTCTTAAATAAAGACATTTTTCATTTAATTTCATATGTGTGTGAAGACAATACTACTTGCTTTAAGTAATGTGTGGATGTTTTATTTATACAGAAAATAATTATAGATTAGTGAGGTAAAAAGTTGCTACCTACCTCATATTCACGTATTTTATATAACGCGAATCTTTGATCTGCTTCAGTTGTCACACATTCTATAAACAGGCCTTTACCCTCCAGACAGATTGAATTCTTAAAAAAAATCTAGAAACGTAAATTTGATGTTGATTAACTACCCTTAATCATAGCTCAATGTGAACTTGGAAGACGTATTTAATTCCCTATGCTATTCTTATACGGTGTTTTTTTTCAATGTTTAACTCCATTGACTGAAATCCTAATTAAATCCCCTAAAGTTATACGAAATCAAATTAAATTATTTTAACATTATTGTTTTCATAGTTTGCAGCAATGCTAACAAATAAATACAACACAAAGTCTCTCTGTACTCTCAGTTAGACATCTGCACGCCCTACCACCGTCTCGCCGAGAAAGTTGGTTTATTCACTCTCTAAAACATTACCTACAGCAACATATTCCGGAACAATGGTCGCATAAGACACCGAGGGCACCAGGTCACGTGGTATATCCCCGCAGTAGCTGTGCCGCTGTACCACCCTAGGCGCGGCGTCGACGCCTGAAGAAGCACGGAGGAGTCGAAACGTCGCTAAACACGGACAATGGACAATGGAAGCCCCGGTGGCCGCATAATTCCGCGACATAACCACCATATTTCAGCGGCGACGTTTAAAACACTGTTTATAAATTACCCCGGTTATCTTACAGGATTCTCGCGAAGACCTCTGAGCCCGTCGCCGTAGAAGGAGGCGGAGTGAATTTGTCTGACGCCGGACGCCGACGGACCCTGGAATTTTACACGTCCGCCGCCATAAATACGACGAACAACGGACAACGGCCGCCGACAACGCACGATAAAAATACAGTTTCATCCGGAATCCGTTTACGAATAAATCGGGCGGTGCGTTCCCGAATAAGTGTTTTATAACGTTCTCATGCCCGGGTGGATTCTTCTCCGGACTCGTGTTGGACCGCCGAACGTAGACGTGGTCGGTGGCTTTGGAATGTCGGTTCCCATAGTTTGATGTAACTTTAAAATGGTGCAACCTATCAATCCAATGTTTCCCATGCTATTCTAAGTCTAATCAAAAGAACACACAGTTGTCAGTACAGGATATTGATAACTTATAGATATATTTTAGTGATTCTGCTGTAGATCGACCAACAGCAATCACCAAATGCTATTGATAAAGTACGCGTAATCTGTCAGGAAATCATCACAATGGAAATTTTATTTTAATATACTTTTGAATATTGATTAATATAGTTCCTACTGAGACCTAGAGTAGTTGAAGCTGAGAAATTTGTGTGATTTCTTTGCAGTCGAAAGGTCTGCAGTTATATCCTACAACGACTAAGAACTACCTGCACTTGACCTATTGGACCTAATATTAATTATTTGATCTGAATGTCGAAACAGTTAATCTTTATCAGCCTGAACACATGACATCTCACAAACTCCATCTCATCATCCCCACAAACCCCAAAAACTCATCTCCCATTCACATTTGCACTGAATACGCAAATACTCCTCATTACTACAATACTGAATACGCCTCATTTGCGTCCACATCTCAAAATATTGATGGTAAACTAATTTAAAAACAAAAATCAACTGTCTGTACTTCTTTTTCCTAGCTAAAACCAAAATCCAGTTTTACACAAGTAAAAACCAAGTCAATGAAAACTTCCATTGTTACTTTACAGCTTAGCGGACGGTGATGGCCTGAACATTGATACAATAGCGCAGTAAGCGCCGGGCGATGCGCTCCAAAGCGCTCCGGGCTCTCATAAACTCTAATGAGCGTCTCTATTTGCGCGGGTATTTCATCGGTGATTTACTTCACGTCTGCAACAATCAAGGAACACCCGCGAACACGGACCACACTGGAACACTGAGGAACGCTGGACTTGGTACAATCGCTTTGGCGCCGTTGTGCAATATGAGTGGATAATTTTCCGGTAAAAACTAAGAAAAAAGAGTTATGTTTCTACTTATTAGTTGGACTATTCTGTAAGCTATTTTCATGATACATTGGTAGGTAAAAAATGACTTTCCCTGCATTTTCGCACACAATTCACCCGAAAAGATGTATAAGAGTTTGTGTAATACAAGATCCGGCTCGAAGGACCAATTTAAAAATTTTTTAAACCAAGGTACTAATATCACTAAATGAATTCTAACATAATACATGATAGGCCTAATATATAAGAATAAACCCTTGAATATTATTAACATTAAGTATATTACTACATGAACTGTAAAGACAATTGGTTTAGATTTATTTAACAGATCCACAGCTTGTCACATAAACCTGAAATAAATTTTTCAATTTCTTCTTTTTAAGTGACTTTTAGGTCCTATATGATAAATTTTCAACGTGCGTAAGCTATTTTTCTGGCTATCACCATCGACAAGCGTCCTCTAAAAACAATTCTTATTTTGCATCTGAACTTGATAGATTGTGAAATGTGTCATCGGAATATGAATCCTGTAGATATTTAACTGTAAATTCTCACTATGTACTGTACTTTAAAACTTTAAATATTGTACAGTTATCGACTGTGCATCAAGTGATAAATTACGTGAAACAATTAGTCATTACCTATTACAAATACAACGTACACTATCGACAACGTCAGTTTACGTTTCATCGTTCAACGCGTTGCGGGGGAGACCAGCCTTGGCGCGTTGAGTCAGCCTCCAACGCGGCCAAATCTATTTCAGTGAGGTCACGTGAGCGTGCTAAACAGCTGGTGGCGGGATTCGAAGCGCCGAGTCAAAATTAGTATGAATTTCCGTTTTTACAAGTAGAAACGTTTGATCTCTCTAGACTTTCCAGTCTTCCAGCTAGTTAAGAGAATTCGCCTTGCATGAGTGTGTCGCCAAATACTCGACCGCCTGAGTAGATTTTCGCAAAAAGTAGGATACGGTTTAATGAATTTAGGGAGTAGTAACTTTTTGTGGTGCTGAAACTTAGGGGAGTTTTATGGTGTTTGATGCCTGCTCAACTGAACAACTTTTAATCAACTGTTGAATTCTTGGTCTAGAGCTGTAATGCCGATGCTTTTATCTATAATAATACATTCACATGTACAACAAAATTAAAAATAACGTTGAATAAAATCACTCACCACGATGACTCCATCTTCTCCCGAGCTCCGAACTGTCGCTCCAAACCATTGGTAAGACTTGGAGTCCAATTGGGAGTATTCGGAGTTGTTGTTGTTGCCTGAAAGAAGAAATATTTTGTTAATTTTTTTGTATTACATAGACAAAATGTACATGTGTCTGAGTTATGCAATTGATGGATGAAACAACCCAGTAGTAAGAATTGTTGATGACTCGCACACGAACTATCAGTAGTCACAAGTTAAAAGTATGGAGACCTCTCGGTTCAATCGCTACGTAGGGATAGAAACATTCATACGTCAGAGTTGTTCGGAATCATGAGCATTCTGTGATGGAAATACGAACTACAAGCATTCAGCCTTGGAATACATCGAAATATTAGGTAGTTGTTACTTATGTATGAAATATAATTCAGTAGAACTTTATTTGTTGTCATTAACCTAGCCATCAAGTAATGTTGATTTGATTTCCTGATAAAAAAAATGATACAGTTTTGCTGCAAACATCCAAAATGTTCAACTCAAAGTTGTCGATCCACCTAAAAGAATATTGGATATGCGTACTATTCGACGAGTCGTGTAAGATGGATATGCAGACACCTTTTGAATTAGTTGATCGTGCAGTTTTATTGCAAATATTCAAATTAATTAGCCTACTATTACTAATCTAATTAAAAATTAATGAACAGCACGTTACCACAAACCCCCAACTCCAGACCGCGCTGCCCCACGACACAAGTCGGACATGAGGTTGACGCGCCTCCGATGTCGACGAGTTTTCCAAGCTCCCGCGGTTTTTTCCCGCCTGATGAATGGGTACAAGCTACAAGCGCGGGTAATGAGGACGTCTCAATAAGGGCTGAATTTCCATGCGACACCAATTAGATCAGCTGAGCATGGACGGTGGAATAATTAAGCAGGTGGACGAGGCTTGTCTATATGACACGGGGCAATTACCCGGTTTGCGCGTGTGTGCGAGCGTTTGTGTGTGTGCGCGTGCGTGTGGCACGATCTGTCAATGTCTTCAGGAGTCTGCGGTGATTCCCAGGAATGCGCCAACCTTTGCTGGCGATGGTAGTGGAAACGTGCTATGGGTAGGCTGATGGAAGAGTACTTTTGTGTCGTAAAATCTCATATGTTACCACCAGCATCATTTGCAAGGCTGAAACGTCAGCAATTAAAATCTGGTAGTTTTGCAAAAATAATTAAAGATGCTAATGGTTAGTTGCGTCCTAGGGGCTATCCGCAAACTTCCTAAAGTTGTAGATCTTAAGTGCGAAAGGGACATGTGAGAAAATTGCTGCATTGAAAAAAAATACTGCATTGTCCCCACTTCTTACCCCTCAACATCACGCTCAGCTCCTTATCGACACACCTGTATAGAGTCACTCAATTATATGCGAAATACATTCTTTATCTTTTCTATACAAATGATCCTAATTTTTTTTAACTCCACCCTAGTTTAATTAAAACATAATAACAATAACAACCCAGTAAACCGTACAGGCAGATTTTTGTTTATGTCTGCTGATTGAGGATTACAAGCTACAAAATTATTGTCAATTTCTGCTCAAAAATCTTTGTTTACGTCGGCAAAATCGAAAAAATATAGTAAACATAACTTATGCATGGTAAACATTCCTTTTCCGTAGTAAACAATGTAATGATGAATTTCCGCAGGTGATATACATGTAACGAAAACAGGTAATTTCACAGTAATGTAGCGAAAACCCCTATTATATTGCACCTTGCGTCAATTTCTTGATACACGACCAACAAATAAACACACGAAATTGACTGATGGATGTGATTTGGCCATACATCTATTAATCAATAAATAAACCGTCCAAGTGTAACTTAGGTGTATCAGCTTCAGTCCAATCATCTCCACGACAGCACGGGAGAGTAGAGCGAGATAGCTGTGAGGCTGCAGGCGATCCTATGTAATGATGACCATTACAGCAGCTTATCACCTTGGGCCGATCAGCTGATAAGACGCCGGAGTTGATATCGATATTGATTACGCTAATTGAGACACATGTTGCGAAGACCGGGAACTGGTGCAGGAACACTACTTATCTGGAACAGGTACAACATCGCATCTCGGGGAGTAACAGCTGGTTTGTAAAATACAAGAAATAGTAACAGTTAATCACAGAAAAATGGTTGTAAGAATGGACAATTTTCCTAACCTTTTCAACTTTTAAGAGGTTTACAGCTTCTTTTAACCTTGCATTTGTCCGTTGACGTGGGTTCCTGCTTTGTGTGTAGAACACATAAATACTAGTGAGCCACTCCTTATTTTGTGACGGAACTCTCAAGAAAAGCGTAGGGAGCTGGTGCAATAGCATATTTCGTACCTAGGGCCGAAAATGAGGTTTTGCCGGCTGGAGATAATTTTAAGTTCAAAACGAAGTCGAGGACTTAAAACGATCGAGAGCTGCAAAACCAATTCGGTCCGTGGTACGAACGCTTTTTCACCACACACACCACATTACCACTATTCACCACAATAATAATGCACACGGATAGTCAACACAACTACAACTTTAAGGTTGTGTAAAGAGATAATTTGAGGAATCAGCAAAAATAATAATAAATAGTTGCTAAGCATCGGTGACAACAAAATAATTCTATTGCAATGCTATGGATACTGATTGTGTATTTAATATGCATTAATGTTTTAAGAAAGTAAGTGGAAAGCTGATTTTGCGGCCCTAGGGATGTAAAACCCTGCTCGGTCCCCAAATAACGATGACAGCTGGCATGGCCAGCAAAACGCAACTTTCAGCCACCAATTAACGTATGTAAAACAGCTAAAAATATCATAGTGTGGTGAAAAATAAATACCTGTACTTAAAACTATTAAAAGTGGAATCGCCGGTATCGAGATATGAACCGAGGACTTGGACCACCTTGGATTATTTGTAGTCCGTCACAGACCACAGAATCTGTTAAAAAATAAAACTTCGACAACACGTCGAAACACTTAACTGACCAAAACAATAATCTAATCGTGGAAACAACAATTAAGGGACAATAGCAGGTTGGGAATCAAAAAATTAAAACTTCTTCTTTTTGTGATTGATAAAATCGTATACAAATACACTTTATCTCCGTCGAGGTAAAATATTCTATACTTTAGAATATACTTAACAGTATTTTGCTTTCGTGCGAAGTCTTACACAAGGGAAAGTACAGTTTGCTAGGTTGTCTCAAAACAGAATCACTATAAAAGCAGCGTGAAGTTTGTTCACTGGCCGTGATTGTCGCAAACAACAGTTTGGCTTCGTCCACTTTAACCTCAATCCCGACCACTTCGACCACCGTCTGGTCAACCAAGCCATCATATTAACATCAATATATTGAAAACATCATAGACAGCCATAATACAATAGTACCAAATTTTACTTTTATTTGTTTTCATTCCAGTTAATTGCACCATTTACTTATGTTAATGATTCATACCGTGTCAGAACAGTAATTAATACTCAGGCCAGCAAGGAAATAATGAGCTTCCTTCATGAAAAAAAATGTAAGAACTTGAATACATTCGTTTATACTATTCTTTTATGTGTTTAATGTTCTTTTATGTGTGTTCATTTATGTTTGTGTGTGTTTTCGTGTATTTTATGTGCTTAACCTCCCCTGAAATTATAGGCTGTCCATTTATTGAACTTGATTATTGAACTTGAACTTAATTGAATTGATTGCCAAATGACATATCCCTCATAGAACTCGGAAGATTATACCTCAAACCTAAAATGTACAAAAATACAACACAATAATAAGACATATAGTACTAAATCGATACACTCATTTCCTATACGTAATTTTTAAATTGGTCTGTACTCCTACAAATTTGTGTCTTTAGAATCCCTCATTTAAACCTACTTATAGGTTTATATCTACCTAAGTAAAGATTAAAGAATTTAACGCGCGCGTGTGGTAAACTGTAGTTATTCAACTAATTACCATGGTACAACACGAACTATTACTTGGAGTTATCAACACCCTCCCAGTATTCCAAGAACACGAAGCAGACAAGCTCCTTAACGATTTCGGACATGCAGCAGCTTCCAGCCGCACATCCTTAATAAGGAACAATAAATTAATTAGTTAATAGCCCGGTTCTCACAGGCGACATCACGCTAGTCGGATCTAATTGAGCTCGCTTCGCTCAGAACTGAGTTTCCGTCTAATTGGATTTGACTTATCTCCCATCTTGTCGATTATTTCCCCATTCGTCCAGTCGGCGCTTTTTGCCAATTTCCTCTACAATTTTGTCAGAAACGGTTCTCTGATCTGATTAAAGTCATGTTTCGATTGCAATAATTACAGAGTTCCATTTTGACGCTCAATCGCTCCATCGCTATCTAGAGCGCGGAGATGTTGAGCTAATTAGATGGGTTTACGTTAATTAACCATTTCAGTATCCAAATATGGTAATGCATTCTAACTAAGCAATTAAATATAACATAAATCACATTGAGTTTAAGGACAAAATAAATGTGCAACAAATACTAGATCTGTTTCCACTTCAATTATATTTCTGCTTCCACACAGTACAAACTTCATTCACTTCAGTCTATTGTGATTGAAAATCGGATACTCTATTATCACAGAGAGCTTACTTCTCTGTGCTATAATGTAATATTAACTTTGACAAGTAAAAGATTTTTGTGTATTAAGAGTAGAAATGCAATTTCAATATGAAAGCTACAACCAGTTCGAGTTTTGGAATAAAGAATCACTTTGTTTAATTGCGCTTTTGACAGAGTGCGCTACTGCGAAACACCTTTCGCTCTGTGATTAGTCTACAGTATAAACTTTCGAAAGGAAAATAATAAGAAGAATACATGGAGCGGTGAAGGAAGGGGACAGATGGAGGATATTGAAGAATGTAGAAATAAATGAAATTTTTTATTCATCAAAGCAAGAATGATCGGTTGGTTAGGCCATGTGGAGAGAATGCCTAAAGAAAGACAACCCAAAGAACTATTGTGCCAGAACATGGAAGGGACTAGGAGAAGGGGTAGGCCGAGAAGAAGATGACTTGATGAAGTGGAGGATGACCTGAGGATGTTGAAAGTGAGGAATT